CCCTGCCTCCTCTGTCTGACGGTATCGAACCCCAGCTCTTTCTACATGCTACTCTGAGACTTTGGTCCAGTTAATTAACCTATTTGATTTTTAGTTTTCTCAATATTAGTACCAACAAAGGTCATGGTGATGAGTCAATGAGGTAATCTATGTTAAAGTCCCTAGGCCACCGTCTGGCACTGAAATCGCAGGGTAATTTAAGTTGACCAATATCATCTAGTATCACAGAGCTGAAGCCGACTCTCTTCTCATTTATTACAGCGGTGTCTGTTCTCCAGGAAGACGTCTATTTAAGGAAGGGTTCGGCTCCAAAGTCATCTGGCAAGGCAGAAATAACCCTAGCCAAGAAAAGTTCTGATACAGTAGCTGCAGACAAATACTGTTTGACTCTAGGTAGGAGGTACCTGAAAGTCAAATGAAAGTGACAGTTGCTCAGTCGTATCCGACTCTTTGTGACCCCTTGGACTATACACTCCATGGAATTTTCCAAGCCAGAATATTGGAGTGGGTAGCCTATCCCTTCTCTGGGGATCTTCCTGACCCAGGAATTGAACCCGGCTCTCCTGCATTGCAGGCAAATTCTTTACCAACTGAGCTATGAGGGAAGCCCTAGAATAGTTAAATTCATAGAGTGAGAAAGGACATGGTAGATACCGGTGGGTAAGGGGTGGGGAAGGGGAATGGTGACTTAGTGTTTAATGAGTACAGAGTTTCAATTTAGGAAAGTAAAAAATCTGGAAGATGGATGATGGTGAGATTTGCACAATAATAATGTACTTAGTACCACTGCAACGGACAGTTAAATATGGTTAAAACAGTATGTTTTAGATGTTATGTGACTTTTAACACAATTAAAAAAATTTTTTTAAGTTTTGAAAAGATTTTATCAGCCCATAAATACAGTATATATGCTTTTCTAATGTGTATCCTTTAATGGTGATATATGTGTATACATGTCCATGTAAACTGTATAATTATGATCAGATGTGTCAAATATAATTGTTCAGTGTTGTTAATTATGAGATAGACATTACAACTAAACTGGAAAAAAAAAAAAAAGATCTGTGCACTGTCCTTTCACTGAGATACCCCTGATGGTTTTAGTAAGTTAAGGAGATGCTGATGCTGTGTGTTAGCAGTGTGGGCCAAGGATGAATGAGGCCCATTAAGCAGGGGCCATGTGATGGGTGTTGAGATAAGGAAGCCGGGCTGTTCCCACCGAGTTTGATCTTCTGTGTCCTCAAGTGACCCAGTTTTTCAGGGTCACCATGGATGGATTCTCAGAGGAAGTCAGTGGTGGACTCTGTTCAGCCAGAGAAGTTGATAGGTATTAATATGCTGCTGGTTAATTATGGTGGAAAAACATGGTGAATAACACTGAGGCTGTTACCTTTTGGGCTGATCAAACATTCCTGGTACACGTAATTTTAAGGCTTTGTTTCATATGATGTTCCTGTTCTAAAAGGAAATCAATCAGGTTTTGGCTGTTTGGAACAGTCCTGCCAATATATGAAGATTCCAACTTGCTTGCTCTTCCTGTTGATTGCTCTTTTCTTTTTATCTCTGTATAACCACTCACTTGTTCTAATCATTGATTCATCAGTGACAATCTCTGTGTGTTCGTGATAAGTCACTTCAGTTGTGTCTGACTCTGCGACCCTATGGATTGTAGCCCTCTTGGCTCTCCTATCCATGGGGTTCTCCAGGCAAGAACACTGGAGTGGGAGGCCAGGCCCTCCTCCAGGGGATCTTCCTGACCCAGGGATCAAACTCTCATCTCTTGTCTCCTGCATTGGCAGATGGGTTCTTTACCACTAGCGCCACCTGGGAAGCCCTGATATTCTCTGTGATCTCTCCTAATTCATAATGTGTTCACTGAGGTTATCGACAAAGCCATGGTTAGTCACTTGGTGGGCCATAGAAGCACACATTCTCACTAATACACTAACGATCAGACACCCTCAAATCATTTACTTTTCTTCCCAGAGGACTGGACAAAATGTTCCAGACATAGTTAAATATCTACAAGTTATAAACGTATACCTTTTAAATCTTTGTAAAAAGAAAAACACATGTCTTCATGCACTTTGTTCAACTGTCCATGGTAACTGAAGCTCTTGTTGCTAGATCTGGTGACCATGTATCTTGACTTTTGATGACAGTGATGCTGGGCTTATGATGGCCACATGTAAGGGCCAAGTTCAAAGGAGCCTCTTTTGTTTTCTTTCTTGTTTTTTTCCCCTCTGATACCAATACACTATTGCTTTGATTGAACTTGAGATAAGATAACTGATTTCATTTAGAGGGCATGTTTTACAAAAAACATATTTACTTAAAACAGTAGACTCACTCTCAGCACAATAAGATACTCACCTTTGGGAGGCTGGCAGACACAGATGGAGCAACAGATTAATGACCCACATTTCAGTTTCACATCAAGACAGGGACTCACTGAGCGAACGGCTGATGAAGTCACCCCCTTATTACTATTCTCCTCCCGAATTGAACACATAGAGTTAAATTAGTGCAAATGTCATAGGATTGCTTTCAGTGTCTTTTATAAAGTAAGTGGAAAAGGGAGGTCTCATTTCAAAGAAAAATACCTTTCTTACAGAAGATCTCTTTAAGTCCTTAAGTATCAACTCTATTCTTTTTTTCCAAACACGTTTATGAAACCACCAACTTCCATTTCACGTGGAAGTTGAATTTGGAAGACGACATAACTAAACATTGACATGAATGTAAGTCCTTTAAGTATGTAACAGGAAAGAAGAGATCTAAATAGTTAAGAAAGGACAGAAAAGCCTCTTTCAAATCCAAGAGAATTCTCTGATATCTGAATTATTATTTTTAAAAATCCAATTTAAGGGAAACAGGATAAGTTACTTTAAAGTGTTGCCATCGTTTAAGTGGATGGGTCATTAAATCTGTCTACCTGAACTCTTGAAAAATCTCTAATGATTTTTATCTGCTTGTCAAGGAACTCCAACTTAGATTTCATCACATTGCTGCTCCCACACAAGCAGAAAGAACATTTATATTCAAATATAACAGTCTAACAACAAACTTATATAGGAAAGGTGTCATAAGCATAACTGAAAGGAATGGAAGACTAAAAATGAAGAAAATTAAACCTTCTCTTTCTTCAGTAAGAGGAAAAAAATAAAGCTTAACCTCAGATATTTGACTTCTGCATCTCAGTATACTTATAGATCACTATACGACGTTTAATTTTATTGTTTTCCACTGCTGTTCCTAAACAAAACAGGCACATCTACGGTGAAAAGAGCCCACTGAGACGGGAGCAGGTGCTCGACGCATCACCACTGCCCCGACCGCAATGATTTTCAGTGGTGTTACTGGAGGAAAAAACATCACAACTAATTACATCATTTCTCTTGGTTCCTACATCCACCAAGGCATGCTCAAACATGCTCAGACATACTCAACCTGCTACCACAATCCATGGATTATCTCAAGGTTTCATTTAATGTAATGAATATCATTTCTCTATTTAAAAGATAAACTTCTATTTCCTTAAATAGAATGACTGGCCAAGAAGCAATCTTCCCGTGTGCTATAACAAGGTATTAACATAAGGCATTTTATTCCTAAAATAAGGTAATCAATTGAGAAGCCTTTTAAGGATGAAAATTACCAGGAAAATTTGCCATTTCATATCACTGATGAACACTTATGCTATTAGTTCACATAGTAAAGGTAGATGAGGATTTTTTTAAATTTAAAAACATATCATATGATATCTATGTAGATTGTTGTGTTTCTGTTACAGAGTATCATTATCAAGTGTGCTAATGTCTAAAATTTGGGTACTGGTTTATTGCCTTTCTCTATTGCTTCTATAAAACCTTTATTTATGGAATGTCTCTGGTTATATATATATATATGTGAGTACGTGTATGTGTGTGTAAAAAAACCCAGCAAAACTGAAAGGTTCAAAATAATAAGAAAAAAAAACCACTGTATTTCCACTCTATTTTATCATGTAAATTAAAATAATGCATTTGTGTACATTCGAAATCAAATTTGATAGCTGAATCTTTTCCATACTGCTCTTAAATATAACCCTTAAGTAGTTTTACCTGTGTTACTGTTTGCATCCTAAGAACACAAGAGTGTTTTCTATAACATTACATAAGCCTTGAAGAGACAGGAGAGAAAACGCTGCCAATCCTGGGGTAAAAGCCACAGTTCCCTCCAAAGCTACCCTTGAGACACACACAAATGCCAGAGTGTTGGAATCATTGAAAATTGCTGATATTTGGCCATTTCAACCTTAAAAAAAAATGACAATTTCACTTTAACTTAAACAGCCAGATATACCTAACAGGCTTAGAAAATGCATCTGAAGATATCCTCGACAATTATTATGCAGAAGTTGGTGACAATCAACTCCACAGAAATGAAAACCTTAACATCAGCATACGCTCTGAAAATTTATGAACCTTTGCTCCATCTTTATTAAAACTCAATTGCATCCACGCAAAGAAAAAACGCATTTTTTTTTTAACAAAGGTGCACCAATGAAAATAAATACCCTCTCTGTCTTTGTTCTATCAGATGTCCATTCAAAGGTCGTGATTACGGTCACATCGCCAGATTTTTAACTACATCTAGCTCCCAATATTACATTTGTGGCTCATACCAGGAATCCCTTGACCCAGCTCGACAAGCGTGAAAACATGAAATAAATGAAGATTAACAAAGACAGGTCTAAGGGACAGCTTGCACCAACACCGCAATGCCCTCATCACTAATACTCGACTCTGCATCTGGGTACTTGTATCTGAAAGATTTGCAAATAGTGACAACGTTCACGCCAGACATGACTGCAAGTGGGGAACAGGCTAAAGGGGAAATAAAAAGAAATGCCTTCCAAGAGAGAAACATTCATTAGCCTTCCTGGCAAGTGTCTAAAGCAAACAAGGAAACTGCAAAATAATGACTTCGTTACAAATAAACCCTTTCGAGCACAGTACCTTTTTGTGTCTGTCCCTCTTCCATATTCTCTTCCATGGCTACCTTTCTTCAGTAGAATCTGGTACACGGAATTAATCAAAAGCTCAATTAGATGGAGGAGAAGCAAGTGATTTCTTTTTTTTTCCCTTGGGAAGCTCCCCCAGCAGTAGCTTGGGTAAGTCCTCCGAGCTTAGCTCAGGCTCCCTCGCGCCTCTTGTTTGCTTGGAGACAGGCTGTCAAGTGCAATTTCATTCAAATTACTCTTCCGTGAAGATTATCAATTTTTCTTCTCAAAGCTGCCCATTGTGTACCACTGTAAGCAGGTATTCAAAGCAAAGAGCCTGAGAATTTTGGGGGGAAATTTGGTCTGAATCCCAGGGGCAGAGACTCTAGGACTCGAAAGGCTTGCTTTGCATTTCAAATGGGGAAAAGCAATTGAGGTTTGTATTGAAATCTGGGCTTTAAATGGGAAGCAGGCTGAGCTGGGAACAGATGGAGGGGTGTCCTCCTAACAGGAAGCAGACCACCAACCCACAATTCCCCCTCTCTGCCACCAGAGTGGGAAAGCCCAGCTCCCCGTGGGTTCTTTATGCTGCAAGCTTGCTCCTCACCCAGTCAGATACCTTGCGAAACTGCGTTTTCCTGTTCCCTCCTCCCCAAGTATCTGGTTAATTTGATTTAAAAGTGCCAAGACAGGATGCAATTATACCATCTCAGGGTTTATCTCTAAGAGGTTATGATGGAGAGAGGACTTGCAAGCTCACAGCTCTCAGATTTAAAAAGATAGAGAAGTATGGTTTTCAAAAGAAGGAGTATAAACCTTTAAGCCTGAAAGATATGTTTAAGTCATTATTTCACTTCAGAGCCACGAGACTCTTAAAGGGAAGGGAGAGAAACTGAAATGTCTGTAGAAAGAAACCGATGGATGACTTCGTAATCTATTGTGATGATTTTCGCCCACAAAAACTGATTTGAAATGGGAATCTCTTGAAAGAGAATTGCTTCAGAGGGTCGTCATTGGGGAAGCAGAAGGAACAAATTCTAGATAAGGAACGACAGGATAAGCAATTTATAATGGGATTCTGCAGTCTGATTTGGAATGCAAATCACAACGCTGCAGTCTGGCAATAAATTAGCATTTGTACTTCAGTCTCCTGAGTGACAGGGCACGATCCACCAGTCTCAATACTTCACAAAAAGTAGAGGAAGAAAATAAACAGTACCCCTTTCTAGGGGGCATAAAGCTTCCTAGAAGATAAAGGCAGGAAGAAGCCTTGTCTCCGTCTCCATCTTTTAATCAGCAAGCACACAGAGAAACACACATATGTGCGCACACACACAACTAATTCCTTACCTTTCATGAAAAATAATTTGCCTTCTAACCACTCACAGAATATGTTTCTCATATTACAGCACATATTTAACATACATTATTTAAAGTGGGTCAGTAACATGTTCCATACCACCCTCGAAACCATGACAAAAGCCACTCTTGAGAAGAAAGGCAATTCTCATACATTTCAGTTTATTTCTCATTATTACTCCTAAAAGAATGTTTAAGACTTCTCACTTCTACGATCATTCGCTATTTATTTTCTCTAGTCAAATGATTTTAACCCAAAGGTAAATATAATTCAAATATATCAAAAACTCATCTCCACTGAATAGGTTTCAATTTGTATTCAAGGGTTCATGAGAGAGCTGCTTGCTCAGGGCATGGACTGAAAGAAGGAAACCATGAGGGAAATCAAAGAGGCAAATCATAGCAGCATCCCTGCTTCCACTTGTCCCCAGGCTGACATAACCTGGCATACAGTCAAAACAGAATGAAGCATCACTTCTCATTAATATTCTCTATTCATTTAATACCACAGGAATCATCAGTGAAACACATCATTAATAGCAACAGCAGTAGAAAGAATAATGCCACTTGAAATTTTCAGAGCACTTTACAATACACATGCACATGCATTAACCCATTTGCAAAACTAAGAGGGAAAGTGCTGTTTTCACCCCGTTTTATGCTGGAAAAAACTGAGACTCAGGGAGACCCAGGGACTGGACCAGTGAACAACCAAGTAAGTCTGAGATTCCATGTCAGCAATTCCTCGTCTAATGCTCTGAACCACAGGCAGCTTTATCCCCTAGTGAGTGTCCTCGGCACCTTCACAAGTCAGACTCAGTCCATACTTTCACCATGTGAGCCAACGGAAAGATGTGGAAGGGAGACAAAAAGAAAACTGTAAGAAATCTTCACTGGGCAAAGGTAGATGGAAAAGTTACTGTAATTTACTTCCCTTCTGGAAACTTTGCAACAGAGCAACAGATTCCTATAATGATCAACTTTTTTGTCTGAAGTAGACTTTTTCATGCACAAATCTTTAAAAGAAGACAACAGCAATTTATACCAATTTTTCAAATATACAAAGAAGCACCTCTAATCCAGGCTAAAAAGCCTCTTATGGGGAGAAACAAGCATACACACAACTTCCTTATGGCAATCACTTCTTAGGGAGTGGAGATTAATTTTTTTATTGTGGTAAAATAGACATAACATGAAATGTACCATTTTATCAATAACCTCAGATATGCAGATGACACCACTCTTATGGCAGAAAGTGAAGAGGAACCAAAAAACCTCTTGATGAAAGTGAAAGAGGAGAGTGAAAAAGTTGGCTTAAAGCTCAACATTCAGAAAACTAGGATCATGGCATCTGGTCCCATCAATTCATGGCAAATAGATGGGGAAACAGTGGAAACGGTGTCAGACTTTATTTTTGGGGGCTCCAAAATCACTGCAGATGGTGATTGCAGCCATGAAATTAAAAGACGCTTACTCCTTGGAAGGAAAGTTATGACCAACCTAGACAGCATATTAAAAAGCAGAGACATTACTCCGCCAACAAAGGTCCGTCTAGTCAAGGCTATGGTTTTTCCAATGGTCATGTATGGATGTGAGAGTTGGACTGTGAAGAAAGCTGAGTGCCAAAGAATTGATGCTTTTGAACTGTGGTGTTGGAGAAGACTTTTGAGAGTCCCTTGGACTGGAAGGAGATCCAACCAGTCCATCCTAAAGGAGATCAGTCCTGGGTGTTCATTGCAAGGACTGATGCTGAGGCTGAAACTCTAATACTTTGGCCACCTTGTGCGAAGAGTTGACTTATTGGAAAAGACTCTGATGCTGGGAGGGATTGGGGGTAGGAGGAGAAGGGGACGACAGAGGATGAGATGGTTGGATGGCATCACCGACTCAATGGACATGGGTTTGAGTAAACTCCAGGAGTTGGTGATGGACAGGGAGGCCTGGCGTGCTGTGATTCATGGGGTCGCAAAGAGTCGGACATGACTGAACGACTGAACTGAACCCTATATAAGTGGATAGTTCTGTGGCATTAAGTACACTCATGCTGTTGTACAACCACCATCATCATCCATCTCCAAAACTTTTTCACCTTCCAAAAGGGAAATTCTGACCCATTAAACACCCTAATTCCTTCTCCCCCTGTTTGAGGGCAGGTGAGTTTCTGGGGCTGATTGGTGTGTTTAGAATTATTTTTTAAAGTCTTGTTTTCATTTAAACTAAATCTTTTGAACAACCAAGTAATTCAAAACTGTTTCAAAAAGAAAAAGAAACATAGTTGTCATTATTGTATTAACCTTATGAATTTGAAAATATACTTCCATGAACCCTTAAGAATTGGCAATTCTCTGTTTTCTAGATTTTTTTTAATTTAATTTTTATTTATTTATTTTTAACCATCTTGACCACATCGCATGGCATGTGGGATCTTAGTTCCCTAGCCAGGGATGGAAACCCATGCCTCTTGGATTGGGAACATGGAATCTTAACCACTGGTCAACCAGGAAAATCCCTATGTTGCATTTAAGACCTTGAGATGATGAGACATCTCATCTAACATGCTTTCCATCATATCACATTATGTTTGCCACACTCTATTTTCAGTAGATTAAAACATATAATATTTTATCAATGGGAGTTTAAAAATATGGTACTAAGTGTTAAATATGATTTCCCTTTCAAACATTGCCTAAGAAATATTTGTGAAATATATGACATTTTTCCCATGTAAACTAGAAGACACAATTGCTCACTAAATCTAAACCTGTTGTGAGAAGATACTTTGCAAATAGTACATCAGATAAGAGGTTAATATACGAAATATGTATAAAACTCATAACTCAACAACAATAACAAAGGAACAACCAATTTTTAAAATATGGTCAGAGGAGCTGGACTGATGTTTTTCTAAAGAAGACATACAGATGGCCAACAAGATGCTCAACATCCCTAATCATCAGGGGAATGCAAATCAAAACCACAGTGAGATATTACCTCACACCTGTCAGACTGGTTATTATCAAAAAGGCAAGAAACAGCAAGTGTTGAGAAGGATGTGAAGAAAGGGGAACTCTTACACACTGTTGGTAAGAATGTAAATTGGTACAGCCACTATGGAAAATGGTAAGAATATTCCTTTTTCTATTCATAAAAACTTATGAATAGAACTAACATATGATGCTTATGAACTGCATATGAACTTACATGCAGAGTACATCATGTGAAATGCCAGGCTGGATGAATCACAAGCTGGAATCAAGATGGGTAGGAGAAATATCAACAACCTCAGATACGCAGATGATACCACTCTAATGGCAGGAAGTGAAGAGGAACTAACGAGCTTTTTGATGAGGGTGAAAGAGGAGAGTTAAAAAGCTGACTTAAAACAACGTTCAAAGAAGTAAGATCCTGGCATCCAATCCCATCACTTAATGGCAAATAGTGGGGAAAAAGTGGAAACAGTGACATATTTTATTTTGGGGGCTCCAAAATCACTATGGATGGTGACTGCAGCCATGAAATTAAGACACTTGCTCCTTGGAAGGAAAGGTATGACACCTAGACAGCATATTAAAAAGCAGAGACAGGACTTTGCCGACAAAGGTCTGTATATTCAAAGCTATGGTTTTTCCAGTAGTCATGTATGGATGTGAGAGTTGGACCATAAAGAAAGCTGAGCACCAAATAACTGATGCTT